ATTTTTCTACCTCTGAATTCCCCAGTTTTTTTTTTAATTTATTTTTCAATTACAGTCGACATGCACTATTATATTAGTTTCAGGTATACAATGCAGTGATTGGACATTTACTGTATATAACTTACCAAGTGATCACCAAAATAAGTCTAGTACCCATCTGACACCATACACAGTTATTACAAGACTATGGACTATATTTCCTATGCTGTACTTTACATCCCCCATGACTGTTTTAATATATGACAATCTGTACATCTTAACTCCTCCCCCCCTTTTCACCCATCCCACCAATCCCCCTTCTCACCTGGCAACCATCAATTTCTTGTCTGTATCTTTAGGTTTGTTTTGTTCAATGAGTTTGTTTTTTAGATTCCACATATAAGTGAAATCATATGGTATCTGTCTTTCTCTGTCTGACTTATTTCACTTAGCATAATACTCTCTAGGTCTATCCATGTAGTTGCAAGTTTCTGTTCTGAAGATTTGATTTGAGAATCAACTCCTCAAATCAAAATCTGAGTCTTTAAAAAAAAAAAACAAACCTTCGATGATGCTCAAGTTTCTTTAAAGAAACTCAACTTTGAGTCTCCCACAGGAAAAGGGCTTCCTTTTGTCATAATTCCTTTTGTACTAGCAGGGGTGTCCAACCCATGACCTGTGTGCCGCACATGGCCCAGGACAGCTATGAATGCGGCCCAACACAAAATTATAAATTTACTCAAAACCTTTTTTTGTTCATCAGTTTTCATTAGTGTTTATATATTTAATATGTGGCCCAAGACAACTCCTCTTCTTCCAATGTAGGCCAGAGACGCCAAAAGGTTGGATAACCCCTATGAGAATCCTTTAGGATTTTGCTGTGGCTCTCATACTTTCATTTCAACCTCAAATGTCCCCTATGTTAACACGTACATGTACGCACGCACATGCACGCACACACACACACACACACACACACCAGCCAATCTGATCTTACAACCAACTCTAAACTTCTCATTCTTTCCTTCTCTTTCACACTCCAAGTCTTCAATAAAATGGCTCTACTTTTAACTTCCCAGAATCTCTCTCTTTTTATAACCACCAGTAAGACTGATCCACTGGGCTGCAAACAGGTACTTCCAACTACGTACCAGACATTTCTACCTGTCCACCTGGAAAATCCCTACTCGTCATTCCAATTTTATTTCAAATATTACCTTCCTGGTAAAACCTTGTTAACACCTCCCCCACCAAGGACTCATCCACTTATACTTATCTATTAAAAATTTCTGACACTGAAAGACCCATCTTTACATTTAAGACAAAGTCAAAAGCTTTCCAGACAGGCAAATAACTAATTAAATTAACATATTAATTAATTATTTAGAGTGTATGTGGTGAAGGCGGTCAAAGGTATTAATACAAACTTCCACTTACAAGAAAAATAAGTCCTGGGAGTGTGAAGCACAGCATGAAGAGTATAGTTAACAATACTATATTTTACAGTTGAAAGATGCTAAGAGTAAATTTTTAAAAGTTCTCATCAAAAGAAAAAATATTTTGTAAATATGTGTGGCAATAAGTGTTAACTAAACTTACTGTAGTAATCATTTTGCAATATATATATCAAATCATTATGTTGTACACTTGAAACTAATACAATGTTATATGTCAATTATATCTCAATTAATGAAATACACTGAAATGATACAATAATGTATAACCAGGCTGGTCTTGTTTATTTTCTTACATAGCACCTTGTCCTCAAAAGAACAAAGTGAAGGGGACCAGAAAAATGCAATAAGGAGTGGTAGGGTTTGTTATGGTCTTGAAAGAATGGGTGAATAGGAATTGGTCAGGTGAAAAAATTCCGACCTAACCTTGCTTTGTTTTTGGCCAGGTGAGTGGGGAGTGCACAGCAAGAAGGGGTATTTCAAATAGAATACAAGGCATGTGTACTTTTGTGTGCCTAGCTGAGTGGCAGAAAAGGGGAGAGAATTAGTGATGAAGTTAAAATTAAAATGGTAGGTAGATGCCAGAATTTTAGGAGCAACAATTATAAATCTATTACATTTTTTCTCTCTCTATACTTGATAATTACCTGTCTATAATATTAGGCCACGCTTGTTAAAAACCAATTCCCACTCTATATCTAGATCTAAATGACACGTTTTCCTAAATGATTTTTCAGGAATAAGACACTACAAATGAAAAATTTTAAAGCTAAAATATTTTAACTGCCTTTGGTCAAACAGCAAAACACATATTTCAACAGTATCATCATGATCTTGTGAAATGTTTTCAAACACTCTTCTATGAAAGAGGGGATTCTGAAAAGGGAAATGAGCATGGTACATCTGTCCTCACTTTGTCTCACTACTGAAAGTTGGGATTGCTAATGACTCTTTTATAGGCCAGAGAAAATGAGAAACAGGGAAAGCAGAGATTTACTTCATTTTAAGATATATATTTTTCACACTATGACTTTTTAAAAAATCAAGATAGATCTCACACTACTGATTTAATATCATCTTGGGTATACTGTGAATTAAAGAAACATGCTAAAGCATTTTAACCAAAGTCAACAGTAAGTAAGTGGCAGAATGGGGTTAATAGAATTTTGCTGTCAAGTTATTAATGTATATTAATAGGAACAGAGTAGCTTATCTGGCCGTTCTTTCAGTAATTTAATTAAATGTATAGGGCCTATCTTCTACTAGGCTCTTCTTAAAATACAAAGCCACACAAAACACTTTTTCTGCCCTCAAGAAGTATAGAAGTCCAACACAGATGCCCATGCAAAGTAACATTCTGGGATTAATATTAGAAAAATTATATACTTCTCAGCTTTTTGGCTAAGATCATATATTAAACTGACAGAACAGATAACTACACTTGAGGATAACATATTAAAGACTTTTAGAGGAGGAAGGTGGGATAGAAGCTTGCTCCATCCACTCCACACATCGACCCGGTGTTGCTGTACTTCCAGGAACAGTTTACCCCCTTGAAGGAAAATATCAGAAAGATTATACAAAGTGAGATATATGCAGGTATTAGGTAGTCACTTCCAGCCAGCATACCAGGAAAAGCCTGACACATCGTGAGAACTTAATATATGTTGACTCTGAAAGCATTATGGAAGACCCAGGTTAGGCTATGAAAGACTAATAGAATTTCACAGAGGAGACACTCCACACAGAGAGAGCAGCAAACACCAGAATAAAAGCCACTGGGCCTCACTGGCAGAAGCAAGGTAGGGAATAATGAAAAGTAAATGGGGCTAAAATATGGGGTTCCTTCAAGGTCAAACAAAACAATGTGAGCAGAGGAATAGTCTCATGTTTCAGGAAGATTAATCTGACAGTAAACTATGCAGGCTGAACTGGTGTGGGACGAAGTACTGCAGCATTGAGTCCAGTGTCAAGTATTCAGTGCCTGACCTAGTGATAACAAAAGCAATGGCATTAAAGGAGTGTGTTCCTTCTGAACTGCCTCAGGATTGTTTTTGAATTATAACAAAATACATGAGAACAGCACCAACACACTAACATTTGCAGCCCCACTACTCCTAACACAATACCTCACCCATAGTAGATGCTCAATAAAGAATCTGAAAGAAGTCAACTTGCAAAGACTAATCTGAATCTTAACTACTACTAACCGTCCACAATCACTCTCCCACTTGTCAAGTTAAGGTGAAGTCCACCTTCAGTCTTGTTTTTACAACCTGAATCAAAATTTGGGGTAAGCTTTAGACTCCCACCTTCTTTTCCTTCAAAATATGCCACAGTATTTTTTTAAATATATAAATTTGCTAGTAAACATTTGCAAATCACCGCTTTACCTGGGATTTTCCGTAGAAAATCATCGTTTTCCATATAGACATGCACCAGAAAACCTAGCTAAAAAATCTTATTTACTGCAAAAAGTTTTTCTTTTAGGCAGCAATCAACATGCTTCTATCTTTCTGATTGAATCGGCTATATCCCTAGTGCAACCACAAGCTGCAGCGTACATTTCCAAAGTTGTGTCAAGGGTCCAGAGATGTGCAGGAGTCATCAGTGAAACCAGACTCCGGGATATTAGTAGTTATAACACCTGAGGAAGCCTAAGTTTTATCATTAGATTCCAAATAATACCAAAATTACAGGTATGAAGAAATATTTTACGAATTGTACTTATCAACGAAATACACTAGGATGCTATTTTAGATAAGAATATCCGCCTTTCTTTCTGCTTCAGACAGACATCAGGTCACCTGAAAATTAGCAGTTGTGACCTGGATTTGATGTATGGAAAAAAATCAGTGTCCCCAACACCCAGACACACACGCACACACCCAGAGTACTTGCATTATTATCAAATGACCCCAGTTTAGACGCGGCAAGTCTACAGAACTATTTCATGTTTTAACTACATCGAAAGGGATTCCTCATCCGTCAAGTAATGGCATGTAATTAATTCTGAGTTGGGAATTGAAAGTATTAGGGAAAAAATAATTTTTTAAGGGTTTCCTTCTAAGCTGGCTGTCCCACACGAGAGAGCGCTTTGCCCAGGTCTAGGCAAATGCTTACAGGTCGAAGAAGGTGGGACTATTCAGGTATCCCACCCATCACCTTCTGCTCTCCTCTGCCTCCCCTTTTCTTTCTCGAGGATGGCGGAAGGGCCCCCAAATGAGAAGCCCTGGCGAGGGACTGCCATTATCTGAGCCAGGCCCTGAAGGCCCTGGTTTGGGCATCCCCTCCTGTCACACACTTCCCAGATCAACCACCGTAAAGGGCTGCCACGGCCCCAGCTGCAGGGCTGCTCGGGGCGGGGGCTGCGGACCCGGCCCGTCCAGGCCGCGGCTCTCGCAGTGCCCACGTCACCAGCTCCAGCACTGCGGAAATGGAGCGGCGGGGCCCGGAGGGAGGAGCGGGGCGGCGTCGGCGGCGCGGTGCCGCGGCCAGCCGCCGTCTGCCGCTCTGCCGGGGCCTGTAGACAGCCGACACCCGCTCGGCCGCGTCTGGGGCCCTCACCTGTGTCGCCGATGATGATGTACTTGAAGAGATAGGCGTACGCCATGGCCGCGGCCGCTCCGTGCCAGGGCACACGGCTCCTCCTCCCGCTACTGCTCCTCCTCCTCCTCCTCCGCGCCCCTCACCCGGCGCCTCTCCGCCTCCTAACGCCAGGCCCCGCCCGCCGCAGCAGCCGCCCGTCGCCGTCCGCAGCCGGGAGTGAGGGGCTGACAAGCCGGACAAACTGACACTCGCGTAGCGGTAGGAGACAGGCGCCCGACAGAGCCTAGTGAAACAATAACAGCCACCCCTGCACCTCCGCCCCGCCTCCGCGCCGACCCGGAAGGGCTTCGGCCGCGGGTACTGTGGAAGTAAAGGGGAGGAGCCCCTACGCCGGTTGCGCCCCACTCCCCGGCCGCAGCCCCGCCCAGCGCCGACCCGGCCTCGCCCGGTCCGCCAGCAGCCGGGCGTGGCCGGGCGCTGGTTGTTCCTGCAACTTGGTGCGGGTGATCCCAGAAGCTAGAAGTTGGCAGTGCGGAGGGGAGAGTTCGGTTCTGCCGCTGCGACGCGCGCCGGTGCCACGTTTTTCCGTTTTGCGGAAGGGGCTTGGGGCACGTGGTGGGAAGGTCGCGTTCGGCGGCGTAAGGCGCGGCCCTTGGCTCGTGAAAAGGTGTTTGAATGCAGGACCCTCCGTGAGGTGGGTTGGTGTGCGATGGTGTTTCTGAACTTGGGGACTGGGGCTCGACAGTGAAAATGCAAGTGTTTATGTATTCGAAACCATAAATAAGGGAATACGAAGTAAATACTGTTATATCCCTACGGTACAATACTATGGGGCTCTTAAAAATATAAAGAGGCTGATTTACATTAAGTGAAAACCAAGCAAAAGACTCAGTGTATAATTGTATATTTATGTTACATGTTATTTACATATATGTAACAGTCACACAATAAATTGTTATATTTTGTTGTATCAATATATATTTTAAAAAATGACAGTAATATACTTAAGTGCCCATATTTGTATAGTCAATCTGAAAGGAAACAACTGGCACCAAGGGAGGGGTATGATTGAGGGAAGAGCTATGTTTCACAATTATTTACATACGATTCGAATTTTTTTTGCAGTGTTTACGAATTACCTATTGAAAAATGCATTTAAGAGACTAAACAGATAACTTTTTGTTCATTGAACTAATACTTTGTGAGTACTTAGTTTCCCGCACCCCTAGCAATTACAACTGAAGGCAGACTATGTAGTAAAGAAGCACAAATTTTAGAAGAGGAAATACAGGACAGAGTCAGTGTCAGGAAAGATTACCGGACACCAGAAGATGATGTCTGACCCAGGCGTTTGTCCCTCCCATTGGAGTGCTTTCTCTGGGTCTTCACTGGTGATACACATTAAGAATGTCCCCTTTGCCCTAGGTGGTGTGGCTGGGTGGATTGAGCGCCCACCTGCAAAAACCAAAAGGTCAATGTTTTGATTCCCAGTCAGGGCATATGCCTGGGTTGCAGGCCAGGTCTCCAGTAAGGGGTGCTGGAGAGGCAACCACACAATAATGTTTCTCTCCCTCCCTCCCTCCCTCCCTCTCTAAAAATAAATAAATAAAATCTTTTAAAAAAGAATGTCCCCTCCCTCCAAGAGAAATCCAATTTCCTACCACTCTCAGAGGTATGGCCTTATAGCCCCAACAGAACAAGTCTCTCAGGGTCTTACACAAAAGCCTAGCATCCTTAAGAGTCAGGAAGATTCCTATACTGTTAGAGCAGGTCATAAAGGGTTTTGTAGCCATACCAATATGCACAAAGAACTTTACCTAGTGGACACAAGGGAAACTGAACAGAAAGGTCAGAAATCAGAAATGGACATAACGCCATAGCAGCATTAGAGAGGCAAAGTGGAGTAACGAAAAGAAATTAGGAAACCTGGCTTTTGATCTTGGCCCTACCACTAACTGACTAACAAATGATTTGGCTTCTTAGAGCAGTGTACCCATCTATAAAGTGAAGGAGTTAAGTGTTACCTAACAGGGCTGTTTCAAGTCTAAAGTTCTTGAATTTGATGTCTATCCAACCTCCAGATTGAAAGCCACCTGTAAAATAGTTAGTAATCCTCTTATGAAAATGTCAGGCCCAGAAGAGTCAAATGAATGTTGTTCTTACATAGAACTGGGATGCATTACTTATTTGTGCATAGGAATTGTTATGTCAGTTGCTTCAGAGCTCTGTCATCTCAAAAAAACGAGGGCTCAATTGTCAAGTCTTTCCTTGAGACTCTGTTTTCTTATCTGGAAAATGTAGATAATAATTGTCTCACAAAATAAATTAAGGATCGGAGATAATGTATATGAAGATATTTTGTAAATTATGAAAATATGTATTTAATACATAAAACATTTGGTGCTGCATAATTTTTTTAAATTACCTTGAGAGAATAAAGACAATCACAATACAAATTCATGTTTTAAAATCAGCTACATTTCTGTCTCTGTTTTATGTTTCTATGTTTATTTTTTCCTATATGTACTTCATGATATTTCTCTAAGCCTATATGCTGTTTTAAGTCCTTTTTGAAACAATACAGGGTAAAAAATAAAAACCACAGAAACTCCATTTAAAACATTTATCCCTGAAATTCAAAAACATTTTTCAAGAAAGACTCCTCAGGCAAAATGATAGAAATAAACCACTCTTCTCTTAAGTGATAATAGGTAATCACAGGAAATCACTTCCTGTTATCTTCCATTCAGTTTGATTTTTAGCTGTTTCACTCCCTTGGGAATGCATTTCAATAATGTCATCTCTCAGTCTTACATCATTTATGTTGTGAAGGTCATAACTGAAATTTAAAGATTAAAAGACTATATTCTCCAAGTTCCCCTTATTCTAGTTCTCCATGACATTTTGTAGCATAATATAGTACTGGAATTTTGCATTTACTTCTTAGCCACACTTTTCATGTGTTTACATTTTCTCTGGTTTTGATTGCTCTGAGATGTGGGAAGAAAGGCAGGGTGGACCGGGGTAGAAAAACAGTGGCCTGGAATATTGTCGTTCATTGGTTCTTTGGTTTTCTTGGCCAACTCTTGAATGAACTTAGGGGCTCTGATCCTCCAGAAATGGTATGCAAAATGTTGTACATATTTGCATATATAAAATTTTATAGGAAAGATTCTTGCACAAGTCTATAACCTAGAAATAATTAAGAACCACTGTGAAGTGCCCTTTTTAGCCATGCCTAAATATCATGACAGAACTAATTTTCCAGCAAATACTCATAAGCTCAGTACCAATTTTGGAGGAAGAACCAGTTTCAAATCCTGGATTTACTACCTACAACTGAGTGGTCTTGGATAAATTACTAAACTGTCTAAGCCCTAGTTTTTTCATGAGATGGTGTAAGTAAAGCATCTAGCACAATGTCAAGTTCACAGTAGACATTAAATAAAAGTTGAAATCATTTCCTTCTTCCTTTTATCCTCTCCTTATTCTCCACCTACAGCGTGTCACTAAGACCAGTAGGAGTTAAACGGGGCTAATGAAGACCCTGCCTTACATGAGGTTCAAATCTTTTTGTGCTGAGTCATGAGTGGCTTTGGCCTGGCAAAGGCTACAGGAGAGGTACTACGTTGTTTTAGAGGACAGCATTTTGTTCTGGGAAATGAGGGTAGATTTTATGGGAGGAGACTATTTAAGCTGAGCCTTTAAGGGCATTATCTTTTGTAGTTCTTGCTTTAACCTAGTCGTTCCAAGTGCTTCTCCATTGTACTTTGTTCACCTTATCCACCTGATCTGCTATTTCTATTCTAGTTGGGCAACCCACTTAATACTCCGTTTTACTTTTCTATGCATGACCTATTTTGACCACTTGTCAAAGCCAGATATGACTGTTTTCTCTTCCATTCTACTCATCCTTCACAAGCTTGAAGAATGCAAAGTGAATGATCGCATATTCACATCCTCAGCCAATAAGTATATAGATGGCTGAAGAAACTTTCTTTTTGTTATTTTTTACCAATAGACTGATTATTAATAATACAAGGGACCTACATGAGTGCCTGGGCCAGAGAAACAGTGAATGTTGGAATAATAATAGCTTATTTTATAGAATAGTGGATTAAAAATATAACTACATAAAATATTTTGAATTAATAATTAATATAAAACTTGAGTTAAAAACCAGAATAGTGTTCTTAAATTAACCACTTTTTAAAGTCCTTAATATTTGCATAATGCTTTCAGCAGAGAAAGTGGTCTGGAGAAAGGCCCACTATTGGATTCCGCGAGGCCTGTTACAGTCTCTTTCCTGACACTACTAGCTAACCTTGAAAAAATTATCTTCAAACTTTTTGTCATATGTTCATAGAGATAATAATTCTGGTGGCTTATATAATGAAATTGCCGAGAGGTAGATCTGAGAACACTCTGAAAAGCACATTATTACTAAGAGAGGGTACGTGTACCAAACTGTGGGTGAATGATTTTCTGCACATGTATCTAAGTATATTAAAAGACCAACCATATAACATCAATAATATTTTATTCTTTGCATTTTTTGTGTGTTTGTCAGCGGAAACTACACCATGCAATTGCTTCAAACCCTACCCTCCATTTATCTCTAATGTGTTCTGTGTCTTGTTTTAATTGGTAGGTGTTCCTTGTTTTGGAAAAGTTGGAATGAGAATGGGGATGTATGAGGAGTATTCTTAAAGTTATGTTGAAGAGAGAACCATTTACAACTTCTTTAATAAAAATTGTTTTTATTGTTGTTCAGTTTTATTGTCTTACAGTTGTCCCCATTTTTCCCCCATTGCTTTTCCCTGCCCAGTCCATCACCTGCTCCCAAAGACAATCTCTTCCCCATTGTCCTTGTCCATGGGTCCTTTGCACATGTTCCCCTTCTTTCCTCTATTATCCCTCTTTCCCATCCCCTGTGGTCCCTGTCAGTTTGTTCTTTATTTCTATATCTCTGGTTCTTTTTTGCTCATTTGTTTGTTTTGTTGATTAGGTTCCACTTAGAGGTGAGATCATATGGTATTTGTCTTTCACTGCCTGACTTATTTCACTTAGCATCCAGTTCCATCCATGCTGTCAAAAAGGGTAGGAGCTCCTTCTTTCTTTCTGCACTGCATACTATTCCATTGTGTAAATGTACCAGTTTTTTGATCCACTCATTTAATGATGGGCACTTAGGTTGTTTCCAGCACTTGGCTATTGTAAATTGTGCTGCTATGAACATTGGGGTGCATAGGTGTTTCAGGTTTCTTAAGGTATGTTTCCAGCAGTGGAATTGCTGGGTCAAAAGTCGG